ACCCAACCACCCCTCTCTTCCTCTCTCCTGCCCCCTTTTTCCTCCCTCCATCTCTTTTCTTTTCCTTCCTCGCACACACCAGCTTATGCCAAGCTGTTAAATTTGAGCTCTCCATCTTCTTTCCCACACACACAGAGGTAAACACAGCCTGGCAAAAATAGCGTTCATCTCTGCATCCATCTCTGATTCTGGGCTCAAAGATGAGAATCCTTTGGCAGGAATTTCTCTTTCTCATGTGCGTACACACACACACACACACACACACACACACACACACACACACACACACTCACTCTATCTAACTCTGTTTCTATCTCGACACATAAATTGAATCTGTGGTCTTGACAGGGCAAGAGGACAGGGAGGACGAATAAAAATCACCTCATTACGCACACCCTTACACATACACCTCCCCTCGCACACGCACACAGACACGCAGACAGACGTACACAAACAGGTCATCCACATGCATTAGAGATGGGAATAGAAGAGCCTTGAATCCTGGTCAAACGTCATTTGGTGTGTAAATGCTGACAGACGAGGGGAGGAAGCCACATGAGATCGTAGGCACTGTTTGGCGGAGACACAGCAGGAATAACTCGGGGACGGACGGAGCAACAGTGGCGTGCACAGTTGTGGAGCTTGGAATAATGATGATTATGATTAAACTGATGAATGATGAAGGTCACAGTGACAATCTAAGAGATGGAAGTGATGATAATGATGATGTTCTCTCTATCTTTATTGCACCTCTTCCCTCGGTGATGAAGACCGGCATTTTTCAGCTGCACGTGAACGTTGCCGATGGTCTCTATGATATCTCTGTGTTTAACTGACGACTTCCCGCAGTGTGACCGTGACTGCAATCTAGAGTCCAAGGTGCAGCTGAGGAAAATATTGATCATGGCAGACAGGAGAGAAGTTATTGTATCAGATCTGCAAACTCTCCTGCTGCTAATTTTCTTTTAAGAATCTTTATCTGTGTACAGCTCTGATGGACAACAGGGCAAGTTTTGAATAATTTTTTAATTTTTATTGATCTTTTCATCAGGAATACAAAAAAGGAAAAAAAGGGTAGAATTACAAGTGTTTGTTTTTGTTGTAAAATGAATCCCCAGGATCCCCTCACCCATCAGAAGGAACATTTTTGATTAGAATAATTAAATTTATTCCATCAGATGAATTATTACTGCATACAATGGGAAAATATATATATTATTTAATGGAGTACGTCATCATCAGGCTCAGTAACAGCAGGGGATAAGACTATTACACTCTTGAGCTCATCACTTCACTCACTCTGCCTTCATACACTTTACTTACTGTTATACAAACTGTTTACACCTCTGTGCATATATATTGATTACTTCTCAATATGCATATACATTTATCTATATAGATTTACTACATTCCTCTTAACATTCAGTGTATACTTTCATATTTATTCTTTATTCAACCTTTTACCCTATATTTTAACTATTTTATGTCTTAAACTCTAATTTTACTTTTACTTGATTTTCTTTCTTTATAGATATTTAACGAGCACTGTTGGAGGGTGCCTGAGGCCTAAGATTTTCATCACCAGTGACTGACTTGCTGTAACAATTTTGCATACAATAAGAATAAAGACCTTGAACTTGGAAGGCATCGGCATATTAAACCTGCAATAATTGATATTTTGGCCGCACAGGGGCATGAAAACAATGCTTAAATATTATCACCTTTTAAAGTGAACACATTTTGCTACAGTGCCAGTTACAGTGTAATTGTAAGTGTTAAAATGTGATGAGAAGTTTCATAAAAACTGTCTCACTATTTTCAGTTGCACATCACTGAAGTTTGCTAACATTAGCCACTATAAGCTACTGGTCATACCAGACTAAGTAAGTGTATCTACAGAGAAGAAGTCCCTGTTATGGCCTATGAGTCAAGCTTTTCCTTTGTATGAACAATATATTTTGATATATCAGCTGATATAGGGAACTTTTTAGCAAACAGTTGCTCGGTAGTCACACATTTTTGGCCACCTGGTAAACATAAACCCAATGTTCATTTTAAGCTCTTTAGCTCTGGTTATTTAAGCTCTGTCTTTGGTCTCCACCAACTCCTGGAGCTGCTGCTGCTGGAAACAATGCTGCAAGACTCTGAACTCAGTGACAGACTGTGAAACAAAAAGCTGAACTAAAAATATTGATCATAGCTGCTTTAAAGATAGCAAACGTTAACCCCTGAATCACAGTCCAAAATCAAACAAAACCTCTACCAGTAGCACTCATGCAGAGTAAGGTCAAGTAGGCAATTTTAGTGGGGATGAAAAAGGGACTGCCACCTCCTCTTGTAAGCAAAATGAGCAAAATACCCCCCTTTGTTAATCCGCCATCCCTCTCCATCCCCTGAGACCGAACCCAGACCTCTGACCAACTCATTATTGACAATCATTTAAATGTGACGAAGCGTTCCTATTTCAACCAGTGCAGCATTTGTATCACTGGTTCAGCAACCAGGGAACTGACAAACTGTGTTAAATCATCTAATGTGATGCTACTCAGCCATCAAATCTGTGCATTCCAGTAAGCAGTGTGACTGGATATGAATGAGACACACACACACACACACACACACACACACACACACATAAGAGTCATTTCACACGAGAAAAAAGTAGACTGTATAAACAGAACTTTTAATCAAGAACGGACAGACTCTTACATGTCCAGTTTTCCCACGGGCAGTTCAAAACCAATATGTCTGTCTGCGCCTCGTTACCAAAATGACCAAATCGCACGCCCCTTGTTAACCTGCCATCCCCCATCTCCATCCCCTAGTAACAGAGCGAGTGCAGCTGAATATGTTGGTCTTGTCTGCCTGACGTATTGATTCTTTACATGACTGAGGTTTGTGTGTGTCAGAATCTATTGCCTCGACCACGGCTCTGAAATATCAGTAGTCTAACGGTGCTGCGTATTGATAAATCCATGGTGCTGTCCAGGGTGCTGAAGAAGACAGATCTACATTATATGGGAGGGGATATTAAAAGACACATTATTATTTTTCCCTTCATCAAGCCTCCTCGATATTACATTTATATGTAACTAATTTAAAACAGCAAACACATTTAGGGAGACCAAATGCAGAGCAAATTGTGTTTACTATTAACATAATCAGCAACATGTTCAGTTGTGGTCTGCCAATCTTGCATTTTTTTAAATTACCTTTTTTTTATTAGATTTGTTCAAAAACATTATCTTAACCAAAATGATTTTGCTGCCTAAACCTTTAACAGGAGTCTGGACACAAATCCAAAGTTCTGGTGTAAAGATCCTGCTCTTTGTATGTCACCATCCTCCCCGAACACCTCAGCCTAAGCCTACATAGGACATGAATGTATTATTCTGTTACCTGAAGGACATGTATGTGAACATAATCCAGGCAGCAATTATGTTGCCAAAATAATGTATAAAGAAAGAAGTTAAGTAACATACAAATGTAATTCAGGAGACAGGGTTGCATCATCACACAGAGATTCACTTGCAGCCAAAAAATGAAAAGGTTAAAGAAGGACAGCTAAAATGACATCATCCATTGTGGCAACAGTAGCCTAAAGGTTAGCAAAGCAGGTTAGTGACCTCCACTTCAGAGCTGAGTCCAACTTCCCCAAGCACACCCACTCAGACACATAAAAGAGGGTCTATGAAAATTTATTAATAATGTAAAATCGTTTTTATTCACTCATATATTCAATTATTTATATTCTTAATCTTACTTCCCAACATGAAGGTACAGGATGAAAGCTTTGAAACATGAAGGCTGTTTCAAAGCTTCCTCCACACCGCCCAAAATAACATCCTGGTGGATAAATTCTTGAACTGTTTATTGAAGAAAAGAGTCAACTTGAAATATATCGAGTCACAACATACTGGGATTTTTTTTTTAATTGTACAATATCACCACCCCAGGTTGCCAAAACTCAAAAATCCCAGAGAAAAATACAGACCATACAGCCTCAGTGTCCTCAGTGATAGCTACAGCTCTGTGCTGTGACTGACAGGATGAATCTGGGTGGAGAAAGTGAAAAAAGTAGCATCATCACTGCTGAGATGCCCTTAAGCAACACCCTTAACTACTGCTCCACACAGCTCAGCCACCAACACATCAGACTGGCTGTGCTGAGCAGCTTACAGGTGCGAGTATATGTAACGGTAACAATATTAATTTGAGAGAATTAATTCTGTGACGTGAGGAAAGCTCAACACTAGAACACAGCTGCTAACGCTCTGGGTGCTCCTCCCTTACAGAGAGCTACAACATCATGTGATGAACCTCGTTTCATACTGCTCCTGCTGCACTGACGTGAAGCTGTTTTGGGACAAAGTTAGGGGGGGAAACAGACCTTGATACGCAAGATGCTACAAAATACACAGCAATGCTTGATAAGGTAAACATGATAAACTATAGACACACAGAGATTTAAGGTGTCTGTACAACAAGTGTCTGTTTTCTGTTCCAAATCCTGCTGTCCTTGGGTGGCTGTAACCCTTAAACCTTTGACAGCTCGCAATTTCTCATAAAGGGGAAAGAAAATGGGATTTTCTGCACTTTCCCTCCGTCTCACATACACACACACACACACACACACACACACACACACACACACACACAATACAAAATACACTCTTGTATTTGTGTCAGGAACGTTTTCCCAAAGGAAATAACGGGAAAATCACATGATGAATATCCTGTTCACTCCAGAGCATGATGTGTGTGTATGTGTGTGTGTGTTCTTGTTCGGCTGCATGCAGGCCTTGTAAGCATACTGTACGTGTTAAGTTTATTCCTAATATTTGCTGCGTGCCATTTTCTGTCTGGACTGTTAAAGCCATGTTTTGTATTCTGCTGACGTGTTCTCATCTAGCAGCGAAGGTTGGCGTTCGCAAGCAGAGACAGAGAGCAGAATGGAAAGCAGACAGAGGCGAAGAGGAAGGAAGAAAAAACTTTTCTACCTTTGCAGACGGAGGACCTCTCCGAAACCAGCAGAGCCTTCAGTCTCGCCGCACTTTTCACATCACTATCAAAAAGAGAGAAAAAGGGGGAAGACGGGAGCAGGAAGGGGCAGGAGGAGACAGAGGGAGGTTAGGTTAGAATGACAAAGGTAAGAGATTTCTGTGCAGCAGCACAGACTGACAGTCTGCCACATTAAAAACCCCAAACAGGGACAGCTGAGCAGCACCGGGGGGAAAAAAAACCCAGGAGTGAAAATTAAGTTTGGACTCAGCTTTTTTCCCTGGTTACTGTGGTAAAGTGAAACTCGTTAAATAATAATAAAAAATTGAATTTATATAACACAATTAATAGGACACCTCAATGCTCTATGTGTGTCAGAGGGAGAGGAGGGATAGACTGAGAAATGGGACAAAGGAACGAGGAAAAAAAGCAAGGGATTGTTGAAATAAGGGCTGTGCGAAGGGAAAACAGAGGGGGATTCCCATTAGAGAGACAGATGAAGGGACGGCTGAGGATGACAGCAACATCTGACAGTTGGCAATGATGATGGACAGAGAGAGGGAGACGCAGAGAGAAAGAGCTCCTATTTCCAAGGCTAATCCCAGCCGCTGCGTTACAGGAAGAACACAATTTCAAAAAGAGAGAGTTTACAACCTTTTCTGTCACATGACTGTTCATCCTCAAGTGTCAAGCAGACGTGAGTGTTTGTGTGTGTGAACAAAGGGATATAAAAGAAGACGTCAATAATTCAGACTGTAGACAACACAGTAAGTCTAAGCCTGCAGTAGCCCAGCAAAGAAAACTACCTGTTACTGTAAAGTGGTCCTGTTATTGTGTCCGACTCGCACCAAAATACGACAAACTCTGCCCCAAAGTAGACTCAAAAAAGGACCACAAACTATACTTTTACTTTACAACATTTTCTCAGATTTTACTATTTACTACAGAAATACACTGTGAAAAAGACGAATGGCACGGTGGTGCGGTGGTTAGCATTGTCCCCTCACAGCAAGAGGGTTCATGGTTCATGGTTCATGGTTGGGGGTTCAATCCCAGGGTGGGGGAGTCCTTCTGTGCAGAGTTTGCGTGTTCTCCCTGTGTCAGCGTGGGTTTTCTCCGGGTACTCCAGCTTCCTCCCACAGTCCAAAGACATGCAGGTTAACTGGTGATTCTAAATTGTCCGTAGGTGTGAATGTGAGTGTGAATGGTTGTCTGGGCGTGTTGAACAGCACATGTTCATGTATTGCAGCATAGAGCTCGTCAGCCCTGGCTTCATAGTACAAATCAAAATGGATGCCTGGTACAATTAAAATGGATGGTTTGGATATAGAAATTGGAAAAGCAACACAGAGGTAATGCTTTGATGTTGGTATTGTGTCACAGTTTGCTTTAGTTTTACAAGAGAAAAAGACGTAGAAGTATGAGGAATAACCACTACCTAACGCAGCTTTGGCTGTATACAGTAGTTCCTGGAATTTAAAGTTCCCCAAACCAAATAAAAAGCAAGAAGAGCTGATATAATCACATTACGATATCACTGTGCAGTCACTGTTCCAGTCCTGAACAGGTAACTTAGCCTGTGACCCCACTAAATGATGTAGTTAGTTAATGACGCGCCCCATTGCTTTAGTACATAACTCTGGGTTACTGCAGTAAGCTGGTTAGCCAGGCATGCTGACATTTAATTTAGAGCAGACAGACACTGTTTAGTCCATTGCTTACTCTCTCTAAACAAAAACACCACTGTCCAAACTCTTCATCACACCTCAGTTCATTTTAGATTTTAAAGGGGTGTTAGCGACATAGATCAAAATGACTCTGGATGCAACTGGATAGACCTACAACCAATCAGAGCAGCAAAACATGACATAGCGCTGAGTGATGGACAGGTGTAAACAGACTACAGCATGCAAAGATGAACTGCGATGGTGTAGCTTCGATATGTTTGTGAACATGTGTCACTGTACTAAAATATTGGAAACAACAGGAATGGCCAAAAATGTTTTTGATTGACTTGCTGACCTTAAAAAATGCCTTAACTGCGTTCAACTTTCAAGACTTTGGGTTCTAGTTTCCCGGCGCGGCGCAGGGTGGCGCAGGGTGGCAAACCCCGCGCAGAGCTAGTTTCGAGCAGCGCAACCCGAGGCGTGCTCAGTTTGGTAGTTTGGCAGACCGAGGTGCGCTGAGATGGGTGTGGAGGCGCAGCAGGGGGAGGTGTCGACAGATACAGCTTGGCGCAGTGACAGTTTCGTGCCAAAAGGCTTCGCCGAAGGTGCGCTAAAAGCTCGCCAGCTGAAACCAGGTCTACTGTGAGCGCAGGCAGAGCACAGCCAGTGTAAGCTGAAGTTTGGCTGACCGGCGGACAGTGCGCACACGTCACCAAAACCTCACAGGCAGGTTTCCAGAATATCAGGCACATTAACAATGCAATAAATACCCACAAAACCACTATTCAATGCAACTATCTGCAATCAGCACATAAATGTATCTCTGTATCGACTGTCCCGTCACATCTGATGTCAGATCAAAGGGGATTAGCACCGTTTGGCACGTTTGGCATGTGTAATGAAAACCCAACCTGATTTGATTAACACAGCTGCAAACTGAGTTCACATCCCTCTCAGCCAGCCACAAACAGCCACAGCATCAGAAAGGGAGTATATATTCAGCATCTGTCATCTTAGAAAAGTCAAAAGAAAAGAAACAGAGTGAGACTGCGAGAGAGAACGAGAGAGTGCACGCGCGCACGAGAGAAACGCAACATTGATTTACAATTGTGGTGACCTCCTCCCAGGCTACCTTTGCATCATCAGCCCGTGGAGGTCTGCTCGCAGTTCTGTATATTCGGACACTGCGAGCTTGGACCTCCCGGACCAAAACATCAGTTTCCTCCTGGGAGAAGTTTGGCCGTCTGACGCTGCTGCTCTCTTCTGCCATGGCGAATTGAGTAAACTTTCATTACGCCTTCGCATGGCACATTTAAGGGCAAGGAGAGGGGATCATTTGATTGGTGTGATGTGTGTAAAACCCACTCCACGCCTTCTCTCCTCCCTCTTTCTGACTTGCGCAGGTAGGAGGGACGGAGGTGGGATAGAGGAGTAGCTGCGCCAGCGCGAGTGGTGTGCCAAACTTGCAAAATCCGCCTGGCCAAACCCAGTTAGCGAAGCGCAGATGCGCTGCACCCCCGCCTCGCCCGGTCTGCGAAACTAGAGCCCTTTGTCTAAACATGACCCATATTAGATAAATGGTTGTAACCGGCACGTCAAATCTTGAGTTGCTGCTATTCAAAGAGGAGTTGGACCAGACACATCTGCCAGACCAATTAAAACATGAGCTTGCAGATTCATCTGGTAGATATGCACACCACTTCAACATGTCCAGAAATCTAAAGCTTGATGGCCTGCTGTTCCTATTTATGGTTGTCAAGCAATGATTGGGAGATCTCTGCTGAGGAGAGGTGTTTAGTGAATGAGCAGGGGGCTTTTATGTTACATTTACACCTAGTCTTTGTGTTAATAAGTCTTATTTGATTCCCTTGCACCCTGTTTCCAAGTGTATTTGCAGAACTAAACATTGATTTGAACATCATGAAATCTTAATGTGAACTAAATAATATGATTATCTACATTTTGTAGGATAATTTAATGCAAATTGATTGAGTGTTTATATTATGCATGCACTATTCTGACAGGCACATTCTCCTGTCAAGGTGCTTTTCTGCATCATAACCTCTTTATGGTTTAGTTTGGCAAGCAAAGGCCATCATCTGAGCAGAACGGTGATTCCCGAAATCAGTCTTCTGAGTGCGAAAAACAAGGATTTTTCATGTAAATTACATTTCATGACATTTTATCTGTTTACCTGTTGTCAGTGGTGACATGTATTGTCAGGCAACATTTTAAGCTTCAGGCAAAGGAAAAGCAAATGATACATACCCTGGGGAGATTGCATAAGAACATCGCTCCCTGTTTTATGTATTGCATCAATCACCAAATGTGTACCTTTAGCTTGACTCTAGTTCCCCCATATGACACACAACCTGCTGTACACATGTGTCACTAACCACAACTGTATTTAGGTTTTCGGGGGCAAGTCCAAGTCAAGTCTCAGGTCATTTGACAGATCTTCAGATGGGACATCTGCTGATTACATTTACACCTGATGTTTAATAGTCTATCATCCTGTTTTCTGACCATTTATTCCCCATTTCCTACATTACATCACATCACATCTGGCATGTGTATGATTGTTCATTCTTGACCCTGAACAAACAAGTTAACAAAGTTTATTAAAGCAAGTCACAAGTCAGACCTCAAGTCCATGACTCGAGGGCAAATCTAAGTCACATCAGAAGTTTTTATAAATGAACTGCAAGTCGAAATGCAATACTTTTAGGACTCTGAAAGCAAAATGTTTGAAGAAAGTGTGTGTCATTTCATGGTCAGTACAGCAATAATGTTTTTACTTAACTGAGATGCCGTCCTTTCAATGTATCAGTGTATAGATTGAAATTAATGTTTAATGTGTGTGACAATGTTCCAGGATTTTACAAGGTCAAAACATACATGATAGGGGCTGAGTATGGGCAAGTACTGTATCTGTCAATATGATATGTATCGTGATACAGGGGATATGAATCAATATATTGCGATATGTAAGGTAAGCAAGCAAGGTGATTTTCTGCAATATTTTTATAATCTAGTTTTAGGAAAACTGTCATTGTATAAAAAGCACACCAACATTTGCACTGAAGAGCGATCAGAACCAGAACAGCGGGATCTGTATTTGTATTCATAGCATCCAACATCCAAAGCACTAGCCTTTGTGCAGTCTGAGCAAAGGGATTAACATTTTTCTATATCAATAAGAAAATGAAAAATAAAATTAAAAAGCTTGCAGAATTCTTTAAGTAAACAAACTAAGAAAAAACAATTAAACAATTAAAAATAGTGTTTTTGAAAACTGATGCAGTACCGCAACATATTGCAGTGCTGAAGTGCATTGATCTTACATCGTTACATGTGACTTAGATGTTCATACTTTGAAGTCAAGGCATTAAGGAGT